TCCACATTTTTGTAGGAGTCATGCAAGTCTTCTATATTGAAAGTATTTTCCAGGAATATATCACATCTCTCTCTCTTTTCATCAATAGTAAAATATTCAAAGTCTTGAGCATGGTAAGGCAATGATATATGGCATACGCAACAGACAGAGAATGAACACAACACGGAGCACGTGTGAGGAAATGGTAGGTAGTAGGCCAGATAAGTAGATGCCTTTAAAAAGTCAGGACTCTCCATTTTGGGATAAATGCTAAATTCGTTTTGAAAATAAGACTTTATATTTCTTTAAAAATGAATTTATTAAAGAAAATTTGGGAGAAAATATGCATATGTGTTTGAAACTAAATTTCGTTTACTTGTGTGACCTACTCATAAAACATTCTTTTAAAGTTCCTTATTTTAAAACTCTAATTTATTATAAAAGTTCCTATTGCTTAATATAATTTTAGGTGTCAGCCTACTCTGATGAAGTCCCTGTATAAAACAGGACACTGTTAAGTTCATTATTTGCCTGTATTTAATGACAAGAGATAAATCCCTCCATATTAGAGTAATTTCATAGACTGGGAACCTGGCATGGGTTAATTGAGTTTGAAATTATCTTATAATCCACACATGAATGGACTTCCAGACTAGAAGAAATACCTCTTTTTCACTATTTTTCTTTGGGGAAATGCTGATCCATTTTGTAGTTCCAGAAATTTTTGTCAAATTGCATTAAATAATTTTGAAACATTATTACATTAAGCATTATTACAAAATTTATAAATAAATGTTGAACACATAAATAAGTTATTCCTGAATTAATTATACATAAATAACTAAATATATTTAGATGGACAGGCCAGACAAATTAGTCAACATGTAATAAGCAAAGGAAAACACACCCTAGCTCCCCACTGTGTATAATAAGTAAACAGTATTTATTACACTAATAAGGCCATAAATAAGGAGATATAATACAATTAAATTTGTATTGAATCTGTTATCATAATTATAACTCAATAAAAGCTTAAGTAATTAGTGTAGATTTAATAAATACTCTGTTTCGGACCTTTGACCCATTACAGTGTAGCCACGCTAATCGATTCTCTCAAGCCACACTATCCTTATTCCTTGTCATGTTTTACCACTGATGAATTTCTGATGGCCTCTTCCATGAATTCCTGTTTATCCTTTTATCACAAGATCCCAGGCACAAATCTAAGTATGATTCCACCAGAGGAATCTTGGTCTTACTTACAGACCATGGGTGAGGAAAAATGCCTTACTCAGTATGGTGGTTTCTCTATAAGAGCGTAGGTGGAGCCCTTTCAGTTAGCCTTCCCCAGCTACTTTCTCTAACATCTCCAGAGATGAGCCAACAGTTTGAAACTAAAACAGAGTTTCATACAAATGGCTGAAGTCTCAGGAGAGAGTTCAGTGGTGGCTCCAACGCCTCCTTCTAGTCAAAGGATGTCAACAGTCAACAATCCCCATGATGATGATCTTCCACAGTCAGGCACAGCTGATCCACTGAAGATGGTGGCTGTTTTGCTCAAAGACTGTGTTCTACAACATAGGCTATATTTAAAACAATGATTTATGCTTAACATTTTCAGGTTTATATAAGTACTATCATTGTGTTATGTATGTATATGTGCATATTGAATACATCTGTTTTATTGTTCTATTTATTATTAGTATGTGAGTGAATAAATACAGATGAATGTGTGGCATGTACTTTCAGGAGTCAATTCTCTCCTTTCACCCTAAACTCATGATTTGGGCAGGACTGAACCGATCATCAGACTTGCACTGAAAACCTTTTTCACTACTGAGTCATTTCGCCACCTCTTATATCTACTGTACACTTCTGCTACTTGAAAAAATGATTTTATACTACACATACTAAAAACAGCAACAAATTATAACTCCCATCCCTGGAGACAAGGATATACAAGACCATTGTTCCAGATGATGATTCTATTACCATAAATCCTTCCAACTCCTGCTAGTGACCCCTACCCTATCTTCCTTCCAACTTCATGTCCTCCAGTTTTGTTCTTAAAACCCCTAAGTCCAATTAATACTGTCATGAGTTCATGGGCAGACTGCTATTCACAATGAAATGTACAACCTACCATAAGCCATTTCCCCAAAGAGAGAGAGAGTCTTACTCTCTCAACAATCACCCACTGTAAGTAGCCACTCTACCAAGGGTAGAATCTCTTGATACCTATCATTCATGTTGGGATTTTGATTAACTTGAGACTGCATGGGTCTGATGCAGGTAACCATAGATGCTATGAGTTATATATGCAGCTACCATGTCTTCTTCAGAAGTCAGCATTTCACAGCTCTCATTTTCCTTCACCACCTCTTACATCCTTTCCCCCAATTCTGAGATGTTCCATGAACAAAAGAGAGAAGAGGAAGAGCTACATCTCAATATCCCAATCAAGGCCATAGCTGTAACCACTTTTCTTCCATGAGGCCTCACTGGCTACAAGTTCTGCTACCTTTCAATGGTTGCCATGGCTAGGGAATGAGAATTTATTAACATGCTCTTGCATGGTGGGGTTTGGAAGGACCAAGGTTAGCAGAGACTCCTATGATATCAGTAGGAGATTGAAAGCAGCAGATGGAAGGATTAGACAAAGATTTCAAGTCTTGTCCACAGCAAGGGAGATAGAATTTGGGATTTGAAAAATGGCAAAGATAGATAAGTTTTAGCCTCAGGCATTTAGTAGACCTGCTTTACCAAAGTATACATAAAGAGCTCTAGAAGTTAATGATTAGCCTATGACCACCCAAATGACTAACTCTTCAGAGGAGTAAGATAGAAGTCAAAATCTTTATTACCCACAATATCCTGTGTACACACACACACACACACACACACACACACACACATAACTTTGCAATGCATTCTAAGAAACAGGCGCGCATGACTCATTGTCAAAGTTCAGTATCAGCCCACAGAAACAATACTGAAATACAGTAGAAAAGAAATCTTAAAAAGATGTTCAAGAATTCAAAGAAAACAATGGTTGTCATTAATTACTAGTTATGAACTTTCATGAAGAGATATGAATGTTTCAAGAAGAAATCATATAGAGACAGTACAAATCCAATATTTGCCATAGACTTTCTAGCATATTAAAGTTTATATAATTTAAATGACAAAAGTGTAAACAAAGACTTGTTAGACAATCTCTTAGCCTGACACATATTTAACTGAAATGCCAGCAGGAAAAGAAGGAAAATGTTTGAAGAGAATATGAATAAAAAAAAAGAAACTGGTTTATAGTTTTCCAAATTTGAAGAAAGAAACCAAGCCATTTATGAAGCTTAAAGAACTCCAAATAGCATTAATACAAAGAAATCAAACATTGTAGACTAGCTGCACAATAGTAAATATTAGAACCATGACTTTAAGTCCCAGCAGATAAAAGGAAATAAAAAACTATTGAGAAATTAAAGAAAATTCTGTGCACACAGAATTCCATTCTCAGTGAAAATACTCATAAAAACGCATGACATTCTAGATAAACTGGTGTTGACAAGTTGCTTCTTCTGTGATCTATTGAAGGATAAAGTCAGGAGAGAAATGAGTAGAATCCATCCTTAATACAGAAAGAGTGTAAGAACAATAGAAACAAAGCAGGAAAATGGCCAAGAGTAGCACAACAGTTGAAATGGAGTTTGGTGAATACTGCAGAAAGAGGAAATAAGCAGAGGAAAGAGCTACAAATTCCTCTGTGGGAGAAGTAGAAAGGAGTAGCCACCAACTAGTGCCCTTAAAGAACCATGCTGTACATACTGGACTGGTTGGCAATGAAAGAAAGAGAGGATCTTGTCTCTCCTGAGTTCGGGCACCAAAGAAATGGCAAGCTGGAAAGAGACTAAGGATTGCTGCAGAGACCTGACCAGGGCATAGAAATTGACTACAAAATGGGCAGAGAGCTACCTGGGCCCGACTGATTCTGGAAAGTTCGGTAGAAGTGTGGCACAGCCGCCTGAAGATTGTATTCTTCACAAGAATCTCAGTGACCAACCTTAAGAATATATAGAATGTATAGAAGGCACTACCATGCATCACTGCCTAGGTAGTTAACACATCATCCTGAAAAGTGTGCCAATACAATTATCTCAGGGAAAACCTGTGGGGTATTGCCTAATAAAATGGCCAGGATGCTGGCAGGAAGGGAACACCCAGGGGCAAAGGTAAAAGCAGATATTAGAGTCTGAAACACAGAAAAGCTCCATGGAAAGTAAGATGCCCAGCTCTTCAAAGAGAGGGTATGGCTGGCAAGCAGAGTCTTTGACTGGGACATTCTTACAGAATGGTAAACTCCATCCAGAAATTTCATCCAGTAAATAGGACTGTCCATCAATTTTGAATTACCAAGACTAGAAGGTCCTCTTGCCACATGCTGAAAATCCAAAGAAGATGAGAAGAACCTCTTTCCTTCCAGGTAGGTGACAGTATTGTACTATTAAATTTAACTTACCATTTTGAATGTACACTTTTCTATCTCAATCTTTTATTTGCTTTTAGCTTGTATCTTCCTTGGGTAGGCTTTTATGACTGTTCTTTTTCTGTATTCATTCTGCAATTTTTTTTTTTTTTGGTTTTTCGAGACAGGGTTTCTCTGTGGCTTTGGAGCCTGTCCTGGCACTAGCTCTTGTAGACCAGGCTGGTCTCGAACTCACAGAGATCCGCCTGCCTCTGCCTCCCGAGTGCTGGGATTAAAGGCGTGCGCCACCACCGCCCGGCTTCATTCTGCAATTTTTAAATCTATTATTTCTCACATTACTAACCCATAGATTTTCCCCTTTCATTCCTGTTTTACTTCCTCTTTTCATTTGTTCCCATTCCCTTTTTAGGCCTTATTTATTAAGGAGTTCAGATTTAAAAGATTGTGCACTAAATGCTTTTCATTTAGCAATGTTTTGAGAATTTAATATAGGTATACTATATATCATTTCCAAACCTTCTTCTCCCCTCACCTCCTCCTGTGTCCATCCCTTACCATTTCCCCTCAAGCTCATGATCTCATAACTTATTCTTTCCTTATTGTGATGTGTCCTAGAAAAACATACATACACATACATATGTGGATATAAATAACAGCCTGAAAAGTCTTTTCAGTGTTGTTTATATGTGTATGTATTTAAGGTTGACCACATGGGGTTAGATAAAATATTGAGGACTAACCCCTGAGAAAGATCGATTCCCCTCTCAGGATCCATTAATTACCTGCAGCTCTTCATCTAGGGGTGGGGTCTTGTGAGATTTCCTCTATACATTTTGACATGCCAATTCACAATGTTGTCACTGTGAAGATCTTGTTTGTGACCACAAAGTTGAGGTTTCATGGCTGTAATTTCCTTGTCATGCCTCACAGAGGATATTCTGGCTCTTACATGTGTGTTGCTTCTATGTCCTGATAGTCTTAGGTGTACAGAGTTTTTATTGTAGATATACTATCTGGGGATAGTCATCTCACAATCACTTCATTATTCTCTACTTTTTGATCAGCTGCATCTCTCTGTGGTGGTCTCCATCTACCGAAAGAAGAAGCTTTTGAAGGGTGAGAGCTTCATTTATCTCTGTGGATAAAAAGCAATATTTAGAATGCAGTCAGAAATTACAGTCATTTAGGAAAATGGCAGTTGTAGGTTATCCTCTGGGGAACATGACATCATCAGCTATGGGCATTTAGTGAGGTATTGGACATGAATTCCCTCATACTGAATGGGCCTTAGATCCAAATATACAGCTGTGAATTGTGTTCAGGTTAGTCTCATTCCTAGACCTTAGAGCTGGATAGGATGTTGATGACACTATATTTCCCCATCTTCCCCTGCAAAAGAACATAGGTGACATTGTTTCTGAACATTATCATAAATATATGTGAAATTCATAAGAGCCTTTCGCTCTAAGCAAATAACAGGATGTTGTAGTAGGAGGCCACTTATTTCTTTCTGGCTGTTCAGCCCTGAAATCAACACACAGAAACTGTATTAATTAAACCACAGTCTGATCTATTAGCTCTAGCTTCTTATTAGCTAGCTCTTACATCTTAATTTAACCCTTTTCTGTTAATCTGTGTATTGCCACTTGGCTATGGCTTATCAGCAAGCTTCCGTCTGGCAGCTCGTGTCTTTTCCCTCTGGTGGTTCTATGGCTTCTTCCTGACTCTGCCTTCTTTCTCCCAGCCTTCAGTTTAGTTTTCCCCACCTAACTCTATTCTGCCCTGCACAGGCCCAAGACAGTTTCTTTATTAACTAATGGTATTCACAGCATACAGAGGGGAATCCAACATCAGATTGTGGTTTTCATTACTTCAGGAGGTTTCCACTCAAATAGACTGGAAAACAGAAGTTCAAATGAAGATAACTTACCCAGCACGAAACATCATCCTCTGACTTCTACACACAAGCCAAGGCCTGCCCTCCTCCTACAAACACCAAAAATGAAAAAAAAAAAAGCATGAGAAAGATGGCAAATAAATGAACTAACAGTGTACTTCAATGTCCTAGATAAACAAAAATAAGCCAAACCCCCAAATAGTAGATGACAAGAAATAATAAAGAACAGCGAAGATACTAATGAGAAAGATATGAAAAGAACAACACATAGGTTAAATCAATTAAATGTTGGTTCTTTGGAAAAAATGAGTGTGATTATCAAATCTGTATCCAAACTAGCAAAAATAGAGAGAAGAGATGAATTAATAAAATTAGAGATGAAAGAGATGTGTTACAACAGATTTCAAGGAAATGTAGAGAATAATTAAAGAGTATTTGAATATTTATATTTTAAGAAATTAGAAAACCTAGAAGAAATGGAAAAATTTCAAGACACACATGATTTTCCACAATTAAATCAATAAGACATAAGCAACAAAAAAGATTCATAACAAATAATGACTTTGAAACAGTAATAAAAATCCCCTAAAAAGAAGAGTCAATGATTAAGAAAATTTACTGCCCAATTTTACCAAACATTTAAGGAAAAGACAATGTTAATATTTTTCTGTTTCTTCCAGGCAATAGAAATGGAAGGAACACTATTAAATTAATTTTAAGAAACCAGTATTACCTTTGTAACAAAACTGGCTTAGAAAACAAGAAAGAGAAAAATCCAACAAAAGAAATTATGATCAATTGTCCTTACGAGCATGGACACAAATATTTTCAAACACATACATGCAAAACAAGTTTTAGAATATATTAAGAACATCATGTGCCATGACTAAGATGTCTTCATCCCATGGCAGGTTGGTAAAACACACCCAACTCAACTCCTGTATTTAACACAGAAAAAGACTTGAGGAAAGAAATGAGGTGCTCATCTCAATCGATGCAGATAAGTTCTTTGACAAATTTCAGTATCTACTCATTATAAAAGCTCCAGAAAAACTAGAGAACTATGTCTCATCATAATAAAGGCAAATATGACAAATTAGGCCCAATGTTATGCTAAAATAGGAAAAAGCAAAAAAAAATCATTCTTACCATTCTTATTTAGTTCATTGCTCTAACTTTTATTCTGCAATAAAATCAGAGGAAGAAATAGACAGGAGAAAGTGGGAAAAAAAGAAGTCAAAGTATCCCTGTTGTGGATGAAGTGAACTTATACATAAAAAACATGAACATTTCAAAACACCTCGTGTGGTTAGTTAGTGAAAGAAGGTGAGCTCTTCAGTAAATGTTTCTCAGAAAAGTAGATCCATATAGTTCACCAACACAAATATCACCTAAAAATAAATAAAATACTTTAATGTAAGACATTAATATAGATAGACTAGCATATAGGTAAGTTGTAACATCAAGACTTTCAGAAAAGAAAATGCATGTCACAGAAACCAATTCTCAGGTTTGACAAATGGGACTATAAGATGATAAAAGTTTCTATACAGCCAAGAAAACAATCCTCTGTGACAGCAAACAAAATGAGAAAAAATATTTGCCAACTATATATTAGACCAGAGGTTAGTATTTACAATGTATAAATAATAACTGCCAAACAAAAAATCTAATCAATAAATGGTCTAATGTAAATGGCCAATGAATATTAAAGATGTTTGATATCTTTAGCCATTAGGGAAATGAAAACTAAAATTTCTTTAAAATTCCTATGTGCCCCAATCAGGATGCCTAGCAACAAGAAAGCAATGTGGTAAAGATGTACGAAAGTTAGACCTCTATCTAGGCTTGGTAGTTCTGTAAACCCGTGTGACCACTATGAAAAATCGTTATCGTGACTCCCTAAAACACTAAACTACCATATGAGCCAACCTTACCACTCCTGGTTTTATACCCACAGGATTCTAACTGTTAAACACAGAGATACTTGTGGATTTAGTTTCTACTAGGAAATAGAAACAGTTTAGATCATCATCAAGGTGAGTGGATAAAGAAAAAGTGAAAACATGCCATTTTATTTTATTCAGCCATAAAAATAAATTAGGACATTTGTAGGAAAAAAGAATGAAACTGAAGATCACTACATTTAGTGTAAAAAACCATATTACAAAAGACAAATACCATATGGAGTCCCTATTGTTGAAGACACCATGTACTTTGGACACAGAACCAGGAAGAGCTGAGCTGGTTCTAAGCCAAAAGCCTCCTCCTCGAGAATTAGCCTACATAGTACCAGAAGATGCCGTGGAAGCTCCCAAGGGAAGGAAGCAACCAATAGCCCTAGTAAGCTGTGATTGCTATGAGCCACAGCAATGACCAGTATCGGGAGATAACACTAAGGGTATAGTAGTGATGCACAAACTTTGGTGATAACCAGCAGCTTTCTACTTAAATGTGAGGTCCACCCAACATTAGGGAAACCATGCCTGCTACTGGTAACCTAGCCAACTGCTTATAGCTAGTGAAGTCGGGAATTTTGGAAGTGACCCTACAGCGACTACTTTACTGAAACAGGAGAATTCCTATCTACACTCTTAAGATTTTTCCTTCTATTAACAAATAAGTAATCATAGGCCATACTGTTTATGAAATTTTAGCATTGTAAATAGCTCTGTCTCTCCCTTCCCCTTTCTAACCTCTTCCTCTCTATCTCAGCAGTGGATCATGGGAGAAATAAAAAGGGGTTCATGTGATAGCTAATGCCATCAATTTATTAGAATTTAGAATTACATAGGAGAACATCCTCTGCAAATATCTGTGAAGGAATGTGTGAAACTCTGGGCATGCCTGTGCGAAATCATCTTAATCAGGTTAATTGGGCTTGGGTGGTCCTTTCCCTAGATTGGGTTACATGGAAATGGGAAAGCTATCTGAGCATCAGCACGAACTCTTTATTCTCTGCTTTCTGATCATGTGTGTGGTATGACCCCCTACTTCCAACTCTTGCTGTCTTGACTCTGATTCATGATGGGCTGCAGCCTTGAACTGTGAGCCAGAATAAACTCTTGCTCCCTTGAATAGCTTTTGCTGGAGATCTTTATCACAACAGGGAAGAAACTAATGAGGACAGAAGCTAATGGAATGTATGAACATGAAACCAGAAAGGGGACTGAGGTGGGGTGGGGTGGCTCCTAACCAGAAGAGAGACCTTACAAGAAGGGAGAAGGAGAATGGGACAGGGTAGTGAAGAGCAGCATGGATAACAACAGAGTATATTGACATATATGTAAGAAAATAGTGCAATGCAATCCGTTACTTTGTGTGCTTATGTATAAGTTTTAAATACAAAATATACAGAATAAAATATTTTATTCTGTATAAAATAAAATATTTTCAGATTTTATAAAAACTGTGCAATCACCTGTAATGGTTGTGCCCTACAAAAAAAATTCACTTCCAGGCTTAAGAGAACTGAAAATAAAGACATAAGCAAGCAAACAAACAAAACCAGCAAATTACAAGAAATCACATCCATGGAAATTTATACATGCTATCTTATTTTTTTCTCTAAGTTTTGGCAAAAGACAAATGATTGACTGCTGACGTAAACCTCATATTTTGTACCATTTATAACATGTGTATGTCAACATCAGAACAGAAACACAGGATTGTGAAAAATGCAAGGTACCATTATTAAAAATTTAATTTTACTGGACTACTCCAATAGGAATTGTCCCAGCTAGGGTTTTTATTGCTGTGAAGAGACACCAGGACCATGGCGACTCTCATAAAGGAAAATATTTAATTGGGACTGGCCTATAGCTCAGAGGTTTAGTCCATATTCACCATAGTGGGAAATGGCAGCATGCAGGCAGACATAGTGCTGGAGAGATAGCTTAAGAGTTCTACACCTTGATCTGCAGGCAGCAGAAAGTCTTCTGAGAGTCACACTGAGCAAAGCTTAAGCAAAGGAGACCTCCATGCCCACCCCCACAGTGACACACCTACTCCAACAAAGCCACACCTCCAAATAGTGCTCCTCCCTATGAGTTTAGGGAGTCAATATATTTAAACTACCCTATTCATTAATCCCAGCACTCGGGAGGCAGAGGTAGGCGGATCTCTGTGAGTTCAGAGACCAGCCTGGTCTACAGAGCTAGTTCCAGAACAGGCTCCAAAGCCACAGAGAAACCCTGTCTCGGAAAAAAAAAAAAAAAAAAAAAAAGAATTGCAAATCCGACACAAAAACAACCCAAAACCCGATTTCAAAGAGACACTGGCGGGAAGCAGCAGGGAGTCAGACAGATGGCAGTGTATCAATCACCCACTCCCCCACAGAAGGGTTCATATTGGAAGCTCAAAAAAAGCAGAACCCCTTCATTGCTGGTCATTCTGCCTGCGGCTCAAGGCCTGTGAGAGGGGCTTGTGGTTGCTCTCACATTTATTTTGTATCCCAAACAATGCTTCACAGACATGTTTTGATCTGGAAATTTTGGTGTCTCTCATGTGGCCACTGCTGATATTAGCACTCATTAGCTCAATTTCTTGATCCCTTCAACAAGTTTAAAACAAAGCTAAGCATTAATTTTTTGCTAAGACTTTGATGTCAAATTCTCCGTTTTATGCTTTCAATACAATACCATTTCTTCATTTGAGACGTGTTCTTGGCAGCTATTACTGACAAAACATTATTAATTGTTAAATCAATTTTGACAAATCACGTGCTAAGCAAAATGGAAAATTCCAATACTTCACTCCCAAGGGCCTGCCCCTTGTACACTCCTCCCAGAGCACAGCAAGGCCAAGCTCTCAGATCTGTTTGTGTCCAGCTGTGGTTTTGTGTGAGATCAACGGACGTTTGGGTTCACCCTCTTCCTTCATCTTCCTATATTGGACTGACCCACATTAGTCTGATACAGTATTTGTGCCTGAGAGCGTTAATTAACCAGTTAACTAATGCCCTCTTTCTAGAGTCAGAAACCATAAGCAAGCCTGCTCTTGCCCCCACCAGAACTCCATTCCTGGCTGTCCCTCCTCCTCCCAGATCAGAGCAGTGAGGCCAACCCCAAAGCAGAGGAGCGGATTCGGAGCTCTGCCCTGCGGGCTCCGTTGGCGACCGCAACATGTTTTCCCCGCGCTTGGCTGCGGTTCAGGAGGCCGGTGCCCCACCCTTCAGGAAGCCCTTCTCGGGAGCCTCGCCCGCTGCCCGCCGTGGATCGCCCCACCTCCTCTGCACCTCCTGCCTTCCAGGGGGAGGAATAGTGGATCGCGGCTGGAGGCGCCTGCAGATGCGGGTGGTGAGCGGGGGCCGTCGGGGAGCGGGGGTCCCGGGAAGTTTGCGGAATGCGGGAGGGCGCCGGGTCCCTGGCATTGGTGGAGGCGGGGCAGCGCCCTAGGCAGGACTTTAGCAGCAGGTGGTTGCGCAACTTTGGCGTGGTGGTGTGGGGCGGGATTTCCTGCCTTGGGATCCTGTGTACACCCCTGCTCTGATAGGGCAATGGGGAGCCAGGTTAAGGCTCCTTGGGAGAGTCATTCGACCCTGGTAACCCTGGTGACATGAACTCCTGAGGGTGCGGGCCCTATATGGGCAACCCTCTCCAGTTGTTTCCCTCTTACGCCAGTGGCAGCCAGCTTCAAAGGTCTCCAGGCCTCTGCCCGGTTAAGATGTCTTCAGATAACTGCAAAGTTTGATGGGCAGAGGCTGTTACAAGATACAGCCTGTTTCTCCTGTTATTTTACAGAGTACAGTATTTGCCTTTTGGGACTTAGAATTTTATATTTATTGTCTGAATGTGTATAAACTTTATCTGCAGTTTGCTTGTGCTTTTGTGTAGAGTATTTTATGTAGAGCTGGTAACAGACGTACAAATGAAGACATTATTCAGTAAGGTTGTTTTCCAGGGTACTGCAGGGATCCAGATACTACTACAGAAGTAAACACAAAACTTCCACCTTCCTTCACCTGGTCACAGGGAGATAAGGAAGCAATGCTATTACCATTAAATTAGTTACACTGTGACATTATATGGACTAATGGCATCACCAGAACAGAGGACAGAAAGCTGCCACTTTTTAGATAATATATGTACATTCTTTAAATGTCCACAAGGAGCAGCTGATTTGGGGACAATAAGAAAGTTTAGTAAACTTTCTAGTAACATCATGTAAGACTCAGCTACAGGTAATCTGGAATGTACAGAAAAAAAATAGACTTTAATATAGTATAAAATAGCACAAAATTGAAAAAAATCTCTTAAGTTTTGTAGACTATTTTATGCTGCATCAGGAGATAGAAGATATATAGTCTAAAGCACTAGACCTTGGGAAGACCTAATGCTTTAACGTGGAAGTATGGCAAAGTACTAGTTCAAATACAAAGTGAGCAAAAGAATGCACATCACGTGGATGCACAGTTACAGCTTTTATGGACGCTGCAGCCCTTGAGAACATTTGGAATACAGAATGAATTATTGTTACTTAAGGTGTTCATATCCTTTTATGCATTTATGTATGCATGTTTATAAAGAAAATCTGACGTTATAATAAGAAAATTAATAACATTGAAGTGAGCATCTGTGGTTTGTAATTCATGTATCTGTTTCTTTTCTGGATGGAGTAGCTATTATTTACTATGGAAAAAATGTTTTCTCTCATGAGGATTTTCATCTTCTTCTTCTCATTTTCTCTTTTTAAAGATTCTTTGAGATACTCCCTTGGGAAACTCAGATTTCTTCTTCAAGAATACTGAAGGTTATGATGTTTATTATAAAGGGGAAAAAAACCACAAAATTTTTGTATATCGAGTATCATATACTACACAGAAATACATATAGGTGAATCACAAAAAGTTCAATATACAGATGAGAAATAGGGAGTGAATTTGTTTTATGCAATTGCTTAACTGCTTGTGTAAGTGCTTTCAGATCGTGTATGCTTTATAAGGTCTCTTTAGTACAAGTAGCTTTTCAAGGTTTTCTAAAGTAAGCCACTTGCCTTTCTGTTTACCTAGCCAGAAGACAATGCAGTCATGACTTGGCAACACTCCTGAGAGTGCACTAAGCTAGGTTTTGATCCTTATATAAAAGGGCCTAATACAATGTTCTATATAAATGTAGTGAGAATATTTCTGTATACTGTGTATAATAAAAACACTCCCCAATTTGAAAGCAAAAATGAAAAGAACAAACCATCTCTTTTGCCTTTACTTTCTTTATTTTTATTTTTATTCATTTTACATACCAACCACTGTTCCCCTCCCACAACTCCTCTAGCCCCTTACCTCCCCCCAACACACCCCCCATTCCATACTCCTCCAAAAGGATAAGGCCTCCCGTGGGGAGTCAACAAATCCTGACACATTAAATTAAGGCAGGATCAAGCCCCTCTCCCTTGCATCAAGGCAGAGCAAGGCATTCCACCATAGGGAATGGGCTCCAAAAAACTCATGCACCAGGGACCCACTGCCAGGGGTCCCTCAAACAGACTAAGCAGCACAACTCTTGCCCACATGTAGAGGGCCTTCAGTCCCATGCAGGCGCCACAGCTGTCAGTTTAGACCTATGAGTTCCCACGAGCTTGGTTCAGCTGTCTCTAAATTTTCCCATCATGATCTTGACTCCCCTTGCTCATATAATCCTTCCTTCTTTTCTTCGACTAGACTCCAGGAGCTTGGCCCGGTGCTTGGTTGTGGATCTCTGCATTTGCTTCCCCTAGTTACTGAATGAAGGCTCTATAATGACAGTTGGGGTAGTCACCATTCTTCCCCATTATAGGGGAAGACGAGTTCAGACACCCTCTCCTCTATTGCTTAGGGTGTTAATTGGGGTCATCCTTGTGGGTTCCTGGGAGTTTCCCTAGCACCTGGTTTCTCTGTAACTCCATAATGACTCCCTCTATCAAGATATCTGTTTCATTGCTCTCCCACCCTATCCCTCCCCCATCTCGACTCTCCTGTTCGCTCATGTTCTCATTCCCCATCTCTTCTGATCTATCATCTCCCGTTCCCAGTTTACCCAGGAGATCTTATATATTTCCCCTTCCCTGGGTGATCCATACATCTCTCATAGTGTCCTCTTTGTTACCTATGTTCTCTGAATCTGTGGATTGTGGTCTGGCTATCCTTTGCTTTATATCTAATATCCACATGTGAATGAGTACATACCATGTTTGTGAAAAGAACGAATCATCTTGTCCAACAGTTTGTATAGGTTTAATATTAATGATTGTCTGTGGATTTGACACTCACTCTGCTTCCATATCACCACACCCTTATTTTGGAATATATCCCCCATACACAGGACTCTTAACTTTCAGTAAAGGGAAGGAAATAGTCAACTCGACACTTTTCTTTGGGAGGATACACGGTGTGAGTAAGATAAGGAATATTTTAGGTTATCAATGCGACGCCAATATTTGATTTTTTTCAATGCTTTTCATTTGTTCACTGACAAGCGGCTTCTCCAGTTTCTTGTCAGGTTTCATTTATGTGGTGAAGTTTTAGGAATATCCGTTATGCATCTAATTCTGGTGAGCTTATCTACATAACTGCCACCTTTATCTTGACAATAAAAAGAAACCCCTATCTACACTGCCTGCATTGGGTAATTTCTCAGCTCCAGCCCCCACACGAGCAACTCTTCCACTACAGAACTGTGGGATGTGCTGCCTGGGCCCTGTAGTGACTATTAATTGACTCACCATCCAGTCCCTCCACTACTAGTTCTCTCATCACAGAGAAACCCATCAAATGACCAACACTTCACACCCCAGAAGCCACGAAACTGGCGTAAGATCGATGGAGAAAGTTATATGAGGGGTATGCTTTCGACTTTCCTGTCTGGTAAACTCTAAGGATTACTTCTTTAGGAATTCACTGTGAAGGAATGCATTGGCAGCTTTGTTTTCCGTTTGTTTTCTTTTAAGTTTAGACTATAATATACCAATTGTAGATAATGTAAAGAAGAAATGGGGTTTATTTTTGACATATTTTCTCCCTTTTGTATTTTGACAAACTATATTGTAATATTACAGATTGTGCTGTAAACATTTTATGGTTCTTGCAAAGCCATTTGTGTCTATGCTTCCACGGATTCTTAGTTTATGTTTTGTTGTGAGGTGCCCTCCCAGCCAGCATGCGACAGTATTAGCCGTCATGCAGGTTACAGCTTGCTTCCAGTCTGGATTATTTTTCAGAAAATATGGATGCTGTTCTCTTTCTAGGTTTTGAATGTTTGGCTTTATACATTTTTAACCAAAACAGAAAATTGGATCCTTTAGAAGTTTTTCAGGGCTCTATTGAGTTTGAATGAAGTTTTGCTTTTCATTTTAATAATATGGTACAGCTGCTGATTTTTATATTAAAATTATATTTCTTGTTATAAAAAGAATATATATGAATAAAATTTTTTAAGAAAATGTAATAAGGAAGTATATTCAATTAAATAAAATCTGTATAGTTGTTGAGATAAATCCCACTTGGTTATAGTGTACATATAGTGATATGGATAGAGTTTGTTCTGTAGTGTTTTGCTGACTTTGAAGGTCTAAGTGCTTAAACAGTGTTAATATAGCTCTCTTTTCATAGTTTCTGAGTTTGGTTATAGGAGGGTCACTCTGAATTGACCAAGATAATTGGGATGCAATCATTCTTCTGGGAGATTTGTAAAAGCTTGGCATTCATTCTTTTTTTTTTTTTTTTTAAGGAACTTTGTGGTTTATCAGATAAGTCCTGTATTCTTGGTTTCTCAAGATTCTTCAATGTGGGAAGATTCTTCAATGCTGACTCATTGTTTCACTGTGATTCTGTTTAGGTTTTCTGTTTTTACCAAGTCGCCATTAGTGATGTGTCTTTCTAGGAAGGCCGTGTCATTTAGTTGAGCTAAACTCTCTCCGGGTGTGTGTGTGTGTTTTCTATAGTAAGGATATTATAATATGACATTTAGAAAATAGGCAAAACTGCCATGGTGCAGGGCAGGGCTCAAATTCAGGACCTCATCCACCTTGAGAATTCATTCTACCGTTGAGTTCCACCTTTGGTCATGATCATTTCTTTTTCTATAATGGGTCTGTTTGTTTGTTTTTCTTATAGTTTCTCTGTTTGGCTGGATAATTTTCACTCACTGACTGGCTATTAAGTTAGTAGCTTTTTCACATTCTCCATTTGATTATTGATTTCATCCTATTATGTTTAGATTTTTTTGGTTTTTTTTGTATTGTCTTGGTTCTAAAACTTATGTCTACTCTTCCGTATCTTTCATTTCTTTGCTGAGACTTTCAGTCTTTACAGACTTTCTGGACCATTTTTAAATGTTTTAGCATCTGTGTACACGATGTGTATTTATGTGTGTGTGATGGTGGGGGGGGGATCCTGTGCCCAGGGCACACATGTGGAGACCAAAGGGTAACCTTGTTGAGTCAGTTTCTTCTGCCAACTTTGTGTAGGTTCTGGAACTCAAACTCAGGTCATCATGTTTGTGTGGCAAGCTCCTTCATCCAGCGAGCCATCTCTAGGCTCTGGAGCATTTTAAAAATACTTATATTAAGCTGGGCAGTGGTGGCGCACACCTTTAATCCCAGCACTCAGGAGGCAGAGGCAGGCGGATCTCTGTGAGTTCAAGGCCAGCCTGGTCTACAAGAGCTAGTTCCAGGACAGGAACCAAAAGCTACGGAGAAACCCTGTCTCGAAAATCAAAAAAAAAAAAAACAAAAAAAAAACTATATTATTTTCAGGAAAGTCAACATTGATATCACACCAGCATTAACGTATTTTGATATTATTTTCTAGAAGTTGACCTTGTCTGGATCTTTTTGTGCTATAATTTTGTGTTGTTCCCTGGGTATTTTGAGTATGATTTAGGACAATCCGAGCCTTATTAAACTCCAGGGAGAAAGTCAGCAGTCTCTCTTTTGCCAGGCGGTTCATGCACTTGGTTTGAGGTCTGTCTCCCTGGGCAGCTTCTGAGTGTGTGGCTTCAATGCCAGCTTTATTTTCTGTGACTTTCAGCTAGCTCTTGAGTGGACGTAACCCAGCACTCAGTCTCACACTGGGCATTGTTCTATCTTGTTTAGTTCTCCAGGTCTTTGTTAGGTTCTGGGAAACATTATTGGGAGTTCTCTAGAGTAACCCTTGCCTGCCCAAACCAGAACCACAAGGCATGCAAGCTCTGATGACAACCAAGTGTCTGCCCCCATATTTCAGGCTACTCTGAAATAATATAAAACCAGGAGTACCAGAAACAAACTAGAAGTTTCTTGCCCTGTGTTCCTGATTATATCCCTATAGTCAAAGTGGGCTAGTAACCTTTTCAGTTATCTGGGTGCTCATTTCAATTTAGTTCTGACATTGACTACCCGGAGTCAATACCGACTCTGTACTTTCACAGCCCACAAGACTTCCCTCCCATCAGGCATTTGACACGAGTTCGAGGATTCCAGATCACTTACAACACTCTTGACAGTCTCATGAGTCCCCTCACCCCTTCAGGGGTGTCCTTTTCTTTTCTGTAACAACTCACAGGACTCAGGACAGCCCTCTACAGGTGAGTAAAGATTTAATCTAAGAACACGAATCAAAATTAGATAAATAAAACACACATGAGGGAGGGGCTGGCAAATGGTTCAATGAGTTTGAGTGCTTTCTGCTTGAACCTGAGGACCTGAGTTCAGTCCCTGGAACACACACTGTAGAAGAAGGCACTGACTTTTGAAAGTTTTTCTCTGACCTCCGCACAGCCGCCATGCCTCTTTTACGGTCTTCACTTACACATATAGGGTGTGTGTAAAGGTTGGATTGTTGCCCTAAGCAAAACCTTCACCTCTTCACCCAGTGGAATTGCAGTGATTGCTTTCCTGACACTTCGGGATTTACTAGCTAGGAAGCTGACTTGAGCCTCAGTGCTCAGCTTATATTGGGGTTTCAGTACTTAGGATGAGAGCTAAAATTTTTGGCTTTGAGTTAGACTAAGTCCAGCCACCTAGTCCCCCACCTCCCTAGCAGTCAGTCAAATAAGAACATTCTAACCCTCTAAACATGTGATGTGTCTTTCTGGCATGACCAGACTACACCTTGAGTCACCCCCCCTATGTAACCTCCAGTGTGATCTGAGGGGTCACCATGTATAACAAGAATAAACCTGTCACTGAGACAGGGTTTAGAACCCAGAACAAAACCAACCACATTGGCTTGTTGCTATCTAGCACTAAACTGCATATATAACAACAAAAGTTTAATAACTATCGCTTTCAATGGAAGTGAAAGAAAATAATAATTCGGATGGCAGCAAGCCCTAGCAAACTTCCCTTTTTAAGACCAATTAGGGATATCTTTTTAAAGACCTAGTAAATGCCCTTAATGCACTTAACTTAAAGCCTAACAGAGCTTCCTTCATTAAATAAGGCCCAGGCACTTCCTGAGAACTGTTAAAACAATACATATTCAACTGTCTTGGATCCTTGTGACATATGAAGCTAAATATGAGCATAGGAAGAGACCTGCATATTCTAATTAAGCTTTTCTTTTCTTTTTTTGATTGATAGACTTTTAATGACTGTTTCTCTTTTACTAGGGGTTGCAGGTCTATTTAATTTGTTTATCTGATTTTGATATAACTTTGGTAAATGGTATAGAGAAAATTATCCATTTCTTTTAGATTTTCCAGTTTGATGGAGTACAGGTTTCTAAAGCATGTCCTTGTGATTCTCTGGATTCTCTCAGTGTCTGTTGTTATGTCCCTCTTTTTAGTTCTAATTTTGTTAATTTTGATATTCTCTTTTCATATTCACTAAATGTAATATGACTCCCACACGAGAATAGTATCACTTAGATGCCTGCAACACTTAGGTTTCAACTGTGAGTACTATGCTAAGGCATGTAGTTGATTCTCTAGTCCAAGAACAATGATGTTGAAAATGCAATGAGCTTGGTAAGGTGACTCAGTACTGTAATCCCAGAATTTGGGAAACAAAGGCAAGACGTTTTCCGTGAGTTCAGGGACAACCTGGATACACTGTGAAATCTAGGGTATCCTAGGCTGCCTAGAGAGACCTTATCTCTAAACGGGGTAGGACTTTAACGTAGCTAACGTTTTATAAAAAATAAATAAATTTACTTATTTATTTATTTTACATCCCAGCCACAGTTTCCCCTCCCTTTTTCCCTCTCATATCCCCCCAACCCCTTCTGTTCCACCCCCAATTTATGGGTCTTGAGATAGATTGGTTCGCAATTTTCTGAGAAACTACCATACTGATTTCCATACTGTACAGGTTTGTCTGCCCACCAGCAGTGGAGGAGTGTTCCCCTTACTCTACATCTCTCCAGAATGAGCTGTCTCTTGTGTTTTCGATCTTAGTCATTATGACTTGTATAAGATGAAATCTCAGAGTCCTTTTGATTTGTAGCTAGCTTTTTTTTTCTTTGTAAAATATACTGCTTAGTAAACAAATTGTATTAGCCAACATTTGTTAATTGTTTGCCTACAGCTAGGTGCATGTTCCTTCCTAAACTTACAATTCTGTCTGCTAGAACTTAAGCCTCTGGGAGAGGTTAAGTCTTTTCCCCAAACCCAGCACAGTCTGGCGGCTGTTTAGGAGTACATGCTGAGAGTGATGGAGTGACAGAGAATTTTAAATAGTAATTCTACCCATGCCTAATTTACTAGTGAATTGATAATAATACAAATTTGCTAAGGATTTTCTCTAGTTCTGACACCTTTACACAGACATATATGCAGGCAAAACATCAGTGCACAAAAAATAAAAACAAGTAAATTATATTAGGTTAGAATGTGTGGTATTGAATAGGCATTTGGCTGTTGCCAGGTGTCATTTGAAGTAGAAACTGCCTTGCAAGGATGTATGCTGAGCCACCCTGAATCTCTGAGCTAAAGCCATCTTGTTCATTGTGGGCAATCTTGCTGATATCTTCTTGAATTCTATATGTAAGTATTTTATGAAAATTTTTCTATTTGTATGTATAGGGAATATTGGTCTATATTTTTATTTCTTTATTTTTCCAGGTCTTTGTATGTTTAAATATCAAGATAGCAATAGCTTCATAAAAATATTTATGAAGTGTTCCTTCAGTTTATATTTTTTTGGGGAAATAATGTGTTCTTTGAGGATCTGGTACAATTTATTCTACACTGAATCAGTCTGGCCTTGATTTTGTGGAGGGGTGTGTTTTTTCATATTTGATTTGACTAGGGAATTTTTAATTACTGGTTCTATTTCACTAGGGGTTATGGATCTGTTTAAATTATTTATTTCATCTTGACTTAACTTTGGTAGGTTATATACATCAAGAAACTCACTCTTTTTATTGAGGTATTCCAGTTTGAAAGGATACAGATTTTTAAAATGTGTCTGTATAAGTGCTCTGAATTGCTTCAGTTTCTGCTGCAATCTCCCTTTTCATTTCCAGTTTAATTAATATGGCTACTGATTTGTGAATCTCTTTAGTTTTCCCAAAAGTTCAAATCTTCACTTCATTTGTAGTTTGTATTTTTTTTCCTGTTTATTTCAAGTCATCGATATCAGCCTTGGACTTATTTCTTACGTTCTACTCTTTTTGATGGTACTATTTCTTCCTTGTTTTTTCCTAGAGGATGTAGGTGTGTCACTAAGTTATTATTATGCAGTTTTCCAGGGTTGGTTTGTTTGTTTGCTTTATCCATTCTTCTTTCTTTCCTCCCTCCCTCCCTTCCTCCCTCCCTCCCTCTCTTCCTCCCTCCCTCCCTCCCTCCCTCCTTCCCTCTCTTCCTGTTCTTCTTTCTCCTTCTGTTTTTAATGTAACCACTTAGTGCTAGAACCTTGCTTTTGAGAACTGCCTTCATTGTGTCCCATAGGTTTGGATATATTGTGTTTTCATTTTCATTCAATTATAAAAAGTTTTAAATTTTCTTCTTTATTTCTATCTTGACCAATTTTTCACTCAGTAGTGAGTTGTTTGGTCTCTATGAATTTGTAAACTTTCTGCTATCTCTGTTGTTGTACACATATATTGTATTTGTATACATAAATTCATTAACGTATTTTATTTTTCAGGTTTAATTGGAATTCATAAAAATGTCAGGTACAATTTTATTAATTTCTTAAGATTTATTTTATTATTTTGAGGTGTGTGTATGTGTGTGTGTGCGTGTGTTTGGGTTTACACATGTGAGTTCTGATGCTCATGGAGGCCATATGTATCTGATCCCCATTAAGCTGGTGCTACAGACAGTTGTGAGCAGCCTAGTATGGTTGCTGGGATCTGAAACTGGAAAAAGCAAAATGAGGGCTGCAAAAGCAATAAGGACTCAACTGCTGAGCCCTCACTCCAGCCCTTTTACTTTTACTAGTTTTTAATGTTTTGTTTCACATGTGAATTATGTGATTGTTTTCTTTGAAGAGGTCTATTTTATTCTGAAATATTTAACTAGTTAGCATTTCGGTATATTTGTGTGGACTTTCTTTGTACATATAACCCTCTGGAAGAGGAGTAAAAGCAGCTCGTGTTTGCACACAGACCTGAAAGTTCTTGAAATGTTGAGAATAACTCAAATGAAACAAAAGAAAAATGGGAGAGCAAATGCAGACAGAAAGAGCTGGGGCCTTTGATCTGGATGTGGGAGAGGGAAATGTTGGCTCTTCTTGTTGGGTATAAGAAGAGAACATCACACTACAGTCTTTTGTTTCCTCTGATGTAAAATTCAATCAGTTGTTTATAAAATTGAGACTCCCCCTCCTTATAGTGAGTCAAGTACGGATTTCCTTTAATATCAAGAGAGCAAATTATAATACCATGAACTGGCTTCTTTATTACCCTCGCAGCAACCACCGGGACACTGTGACCAAGTGGCTTTTGGAAAAATACAATAAGAATGTGGGCCATTACAGGTGTGGGCTGTACCAACTCTGACTGATGTGTTTATGACTATATTAAATTCTTAGCGAGTGAGAATTTATTTAATGTTTTGAACTTAGACACCGTATTCCCAAAAGACTATGAAGAATCACCTTTCTATTTCCAGTGTTTCCCACATAATAAGAGAGTGAATCACGATCATCTGTGATGGACTAACTGCAAGCAGGAGTCAACAGAAGGTCAGCTGAAGCAGGAACAGGAAAGCTCAGGCTGATGCTTGGCCTCATTTTCTAAACTACGGTCAATGTAAAATTTATGAAACTTATAAATAGATATTTTTCCTAAGAAATATGAGTGTATTGGCTGGTACTTGTAAGAGGAAAAGAGTACATTTTACAATCATGCTATCACTTACTGTGTGGGTTGTTCCTCTCTTCCTCAAGGTGTGGTCCCCATAGACCCTGAGCAGCCTGCAGGAGAGATGGAAAAGCAGATAATATCACCAACTGCAGTGCCCGATGCCCCTCCTGACTACAATTCTCATTTTGTGCCCGGTAAGGTGAAGTTTTAAGAATAACCCTCCTCCCGAACACCATAGCGACAGTTAAGGTTACTTTCTCAGTAAACATCTGATTCAGCAAATATGTACCGAATGTTGAGAGAGTGTCACTTTTAATATATTCCTGTGATCACAGGCTGTGCTGTGGAGGCACTGAGGAAGGAAGTTGTCAAAGTAAGGATAGCATTCTCCACGTTCCTAGTGGACAGATGAAGAGGGAGGGTATGGTGGAAACACAGAGGGTGCTGCTGTCGGACCCTACCAGGGATTGGAGGGTAGCTGCGATTGAATATAGCAGGCTTTGTTGTATATAATTTGATAAAGTTACACAAGTGTTTATGAAGCTCTGGTAAATGGCAGGAAGGGGCAGAGACATAGAAAGACATAGCTATGAGCATTGATTAAGGCACTGGCATAGATTTTTGTGTCTCAGAGAAACCCTGTCTCGAAAAAACCAAAAAGAAAGAAAAAAAAAAAGACTATTGGTGGAGACTCAGGAGGAGGGGTTCTCACAGTGCTAGAGTAAATTTTAGATAGTATAGTCACATTAGGAAGTAACTATACCATTTCCAAGAAGTAAACATTGGTTAGAATTGGTCACTATGGGAAATACTTGCTTTCCTCTTTATCAGAAATAGGTGAGACTGGGAATTTAGCTCATTGGTAGAGTCTTGTCTAGCAAATGAAGGCCCTGTTCAGTCGCAGGAGGCAGCCTTCAAATTAAATAGGTAGGTTGAAAATGTTGAAAATACACTGCTAATGAACTGTCCCTACAGGAAAAAGTCACTGTGATCGCCATCTAGGGGCTAGGCCATATCCTTCAAAAGTGGTTGACAGTTCCACACATGTGGATCCGGTGAATTGTGGTGAATCTCAGTAGCTTTCATCTGTGATACTTTGTCACCCCTCCATCTTCTTTTTGTTTCCCTGGAAGTCCCGTCCTACTTGGGTATCTCTCTCACCCTTCTCCGTATGTGTGCGACTCAGTCTCATCTTTTCTGTCTCTGTGAGTTTCTCCCTCTGACCTTCTCTCGGTCTCTATCTGGTGTGTGCGTTCACGTGTTTGTGCGTGCATGTGTGTGTTTGTGTGTGCGCGTGTGTGTATGTCCCAGAGTATGGTTAGCATTGCTTGCATGAAGATAGGAGGAGGCTACATAGTTACAAGAGTATAAACTATAAAAACATGATACTGTTTTCCCAGCAACCACTAACTGCTAGTAGTTCCTCAGGGAGATGTGAGGTCTCATGAGGAGGTAGCCACAGGTGCAGTGGGTTCGTGAAGGCAACTCCTGTGCTGTGTACGCAAGATGGCTTTTTGCATCATGCCTCCTTGTTCCTCATGACAATGCTTCTGTTTTGCCAGTGAGCACATTTTCCTGGAAAGTCAGTGTTGTAGCTCACAGGGTGCCTCACTGGGTAAGACGACTGATGTCTGTCAATGGCTGTCCCAGCAGCTTGTATAACACCGTCTGGCAGTGTGAAAACCAGCAGTCTGGGAAGAAGCTTCTACTTCACTTCCAGCTTGATTTCTGTGTCTCTGTCTATATCCAAAGGATATGGTTTGTGTTTTGGCAGTAAGATTGCCCCATCAAGTTCAGCTGAGGGACCAAGAGCAATGACAAAAACCTATTTGTTTCGAGAGCCTCTGGCACCTCCGTGACCAATAACTCAGGGATGTGTCAATTCTTATGACACAAATTGTGTTCTTCTAATTCACAGAAACCAGAAATAATATGCTTGTAAAATTTGATTTAATGAAATTATTTAGATTCAAATTTAATTTAAATTTCCATTCTAGTTCTGAATGTATTCTCCAACCAAAAGCAATGCTGTCCAGAATTATTCTTTAAAAGAGTAGTTAATAAATAAACCATTGTTATATGGAATCCATTTGAGAAGAAAAAATGTCATGGTTTTTTGAAATAAAAAACAATGGTAACACTAAAAATTATTAAGAAGGAGATCCCATAGGCATTTTCTCACAATGACTTTGGTAGGTGGCTTTATGCTAGAGTTTTCTGTAAATTAATGTGAGCTCTTGTGGTTACACAAATTTGAACATGGATTGCTTTGCTTTAGTTTGTTTTCCTGCAGAAACAGTCAAAACCCTTAAGGGCAATTTCCAACTCAGAAAAACATAGCTTACTAGTTTCTTACACATAATTTTGCCACGTTTTTTCTTCTTCATATTTAATGTGGATTAATACATCTTTATAACAAAACTCACTCATTTGTATAAATTGGTATATAACTACAGAAATTTAATCATATTGAATAAGTCCTTAACATAAATTCTACTTTTCTTCAGGCTATTGATCATGAACTTTTATTGCTTCAAGTGCTTTTATATTAAAAGTACAAGATATGGTAATTAACTCCTTCACATAATATAGTGATCAGTATTCTTTAACCGAGGGCTTTGAGACTCTGAGGAGGATCACTGATTATTGTAAGGGTACTCTTACAATAGTCCTTTTGGGGATGAAAGTACATTCTTCATGATAAACTCAAACTGTCCCTCATTCTTCTTCCATAGCTACTCACCTTTGCTCTCATTTAGTTCTAAGTTTAAAGCATTTTTAAATACTACTCTCCATCATTTAATTATACTTTATCAAGAGCTCTATCCCTATCCTTAAAAGCTAGTTTTCCCCATTCTCGCCTGGCTCCCCCTCTCCTCCACACTCTCTATCATCTTGACAATCCCACTAGTTTTGTGCACTTTAACGTGGTTGTAAATCCCATCCCGTCCCACATCGGTATGCTACACTTTATAATGACCATTTGCTTTTCTTACTAGCATGAATATGCTCCAAAATACCAATATGTGTTTAGGTCTGTTTCTAGCCTCAGTTATAGCTGCTGGTACTCAAAGCTGGTATGATAAATGCTTCCTAGACAAAGTGATGTATATCTCATTGTTTTGTTTTGAGATTGTATTAGAGAATTGATTTTGTCATTCATGACTATTTATTAGTCTGCTTTTTATTAGAGATTGGAATGTTAGAGATTCCCTTAGCTTCAAAACTACTCTTCCTTGATGTCTACTTCAAAACTACACTTCTTTAATGTCTACATCACAAGGATTTGAGCTTTTACACAACTCGTTTTGCAGAAGATGATATCTTTTGCTATTTTTCACTTAAAGAAACTTCTTCAAGCTCTGAGATTGTGTCTTCCTTGTACTGATTTTTCTCAGCATTGGTTAATCCGAGACCTCTTTGATTCCATGACTGGGATGTGTGTATGTAATTTAAGGATTGAGATAGCTGTTGGCACTAAAGTTGCTAAACCCAAGGCCCTCCACAAAATCCTTTAGAGAGTGTTCCTATTTTTACTTAAGATAGCATGTTTGCTTATGATACAGTGGGGTATTGATGTAATATAGCTAAGTGTTCAGTAAATGTTATATAATGAAGAAATATAGATGCACGAAAGGTCTTTGAAAGTTCAACATTTTTTCTTGATTAAAAAAAAACCCTGAAGAAAACACAAATAGAAGAAACCTTTGAATATAATAATGGCTATATAGGCCCATATATAATGTGCATTATACTCAAAAGAAAAAATGAGTATTTTCTTATCTGAAACAAATGCACGCACTCTCTCCATCTTATTCAGCATAATGCTTGAACTCTAAGCTAGAGCAGTGAAACAAGAAAAAGAAATTCAAGGACTACAAAGAGAAAGGGACAAAATCTAAACACTCCCATTTGCAGATGACATGATTCTATCCTTAAAAGACCCTAATAATTCTAGCATGAAGCACTTATCTCTAAAAACATTTGCAGAACAATATCAGGATGTAAAGACAACATCAAAAAACCGGTTGTCTTACTTTACACCAATTACAGCTTTTCAGGAAAAATTCCATTCACAATGCTTTCAATATAATAAAATACATAAGGATAAAACCCCTAACCATAAAAGTTGCAAAAAGTGAAGCCATGAAGGAAAGAAGTGGAAGAAAACACAAGACTTCTCATGACCATAAATTGGGAGCTGATGTTATAAATATGGCTGTATTATTAAAAATGTTTTTCAGGTTAAGCACAATCCCCAACAAAACCTCAATGTATTCTTCACAAAATTAGAACATATAATCCTAAAATTCATACAAAAGCTAAACTGTCAGAATAGCCTAAAGTTTCCCAAGTAGAAAAAACAATGCTGAAAATATCAAAATGCATAATCTTAAATTGTATTAGAGACAAGTAGTCACAAAAATTGAATGATACTGGCATGCAAAAAGAGAGACACAGGTGGTTCTAATTTACTGTCTATTGCTGACAGATAAAGCATTTATTACAGTTTACAGATCATAGTCCACCATCCCATCATAGATGGGAAGCCGGGGTAGGAGCTCAAGGCAGGAACTAAAGTAGAGACATTGGAGGAAGACTGCTTATTTCCTCTGGCTTGCAAAGCTACCTTCCTTGTACAAAGCCCAGGACGACCCAGGTCTACATCCCAAAGATAGCACTGATCACATTGGCCTGGGCCATCCCACATCAACATCAATTACCAACCAAGAAAATAGACCACAGGGATGCCCACAGACCAGTCTGATGGAAGCATTTCCTCAATGAAAGTTTTCTCTTAGAAGTGTGTCAAGTTGACAACCATCACATAAGTCAGTAGAATAGAGGATTTAGAGATAAATTCAGAGATATAGCCACCAAATTACAATGTTGTCACAAACATACACTGTGGGGGCGGGGGGGTCCGGTGGGTGGAGACAGTATCTTTTAACAAATGATGCTAGGGAAAGAAATTAAATGATCGGGGCTTTGGTGAAATTGTTGTAGAAAAACACTTAAGATAAAGGCACAGGCAACACATCTATGAGAAGGGCTTTAGTAGCACAGGAGACACTTGCAAGAATGGACAGATGGGATTGCATGCAATTAAAAAGCTTCTGCATGGCAAAGGTCACAAGCAGCAGAAGATCCCAGCCTACAACGTGTAGAAAATATTGCCAGCTGCACATCAGATGGAGCATTAATATCTAGAATAATAAAAAATGAACAAAAATCTAATCAACAAACAGGCCAATGGCATGAGTGGACAGTTCAGAAGAGGAATACAAACACCCCAAAACACTTTTAAAGTTTCATTATGGGGGAGGGCAGTGAGTACCAGAGTGAGTGAGTGTGGAAGTAAAGGCTCACTTTGGAAGTTGTTTCTCTCTTTTCATTCTGGGTTCTGTGGACTGAACTCAAGTTCTACTAAAGAGGATGTAGAAAAGGAGTCTTAATTTACTGTTGGTGGCCTGAATATGTAAATTCAGGCAGCCACGATAGAAATCATCATGGAATTTCTCAGAAAGGTGAACAGAACTGCCATATCATTCCTGGTTATGCACCTGAAAAGTTTTCAGTCAGAATGCCACAGAGACACTTGTCTATACATGTGCTGTAACATGGATGGAAGACAAAAACGTGCAGATTGAGAGAAACCTAGCACACAGGTTATATGCTGTACACATTCATCTATGTGGCATGACCTGCCTAGGAAAACCACAGATAATGGTTTCAAAAGATGAGAGAGGAAAACATAAATGGCTGCTAATGGATGATAACTCTTCTGGATTTAGGCAGTGAGGATAGTTCTCAAATTTGCTAGCACTGAAGCAATAGCAAAGCCCACTGAATTCTACATTTAGAGAAGGAAAGAAATCAAGATGACTTTCTTCATTATGTTGAATTGGAAATAGTTGAAAACTGAGCCAGGCATCTGTTACTGAGAACACCAGGCTATTTTTTTGAAACACTATAATTGTGGTATACTGAGCCACAATTAAACAAACAATCCTGAAATAATTTTCTTATATGTTTGAGAGTAGTAAATTTAAACAACCACTTTTTTTAAAAAATCTACATCTGGTTTTGTTTTTCCATACATTCTCCCTCTGTAGCAAACATGACTTCAGCAGGCCTGATGGAAGAGGAGGTTATGCATTAGTTATTGTATGGTATTTTATTATTCTGAATACCCCTCTAAAAACATTGGGGAATGTTGTTCATGGGCCCTTGAATGATTTATGATGGCCTAGATATGGTTTATTAGATTTTGGGTTATTTTTGACTATTGAGAATTGACCATAACTTTGGATAAGTATTATGAATTGAACATTGTCTACCCCTACTCCAAATTTACCTGCTAGACCCAATAATAAGGATTGGGGGATGGAGTCTTCCAAGGAGATTCTAGAGGTCCCAAGATGAAGCCATTTATGGTGGGGTTGATGCTCTTACGACAGATGGCAAGAGAGTGATGATCGGAGTAGTCTTGAAGAGTGCCCTCCCCAGGCCAGGAAGAAGGTTGGATTTACAGTTCACCTTGAAGTTCCAAGCTTAGAGCCAGGGAAGGTAAAGCTTGTCATTGAAAACAATCCACTTTCAGTAGCCTGATAAAGAAATGAGATTAAGAAGTTGGGTCTGAGAGATATCAGTGTTGGTAAGCAGTCTGATGTCTAGATGAAAGGACAAAGAGAAGTGACTGAGCAAAGGCAACCCAGCACAGATGGTAAGGACCCCTTTGCAATAACTAGTAAAATTGGCGATGATAATTGCGTGCTAGACCTTGTTCTGACCCTATTAAAACCAGTGAAGTGCGTTTATGATCAGTAAAGGAGACGCCTCATACAGTGAAGGGCTACTTTGTTTCTCAGTGTGTCAATCTTTATTTCCATATCTGTTAAATGGGAATAATTATGTTACAAGTTTTAAGAGAATCAAATTAACTAATATGTGAATAATTCCCTTAGTATGTTGCTAATATATTAGGTACATACCCAGAAAACAGAGGACTTGTTTTCTTTAAGAACATGTTGCATGGTTACTTTTTAACGTAAAAATTATATAACTTCCAATACACTAAAGTGATAATACATGATATTTTCATCTTTTTGAGAACACAGGCCCTGCTGGACCAGCTGCCCCTCCACCTACAGGCTTGCCTACAGGATACAACATTCCACAGCATCCTGGTGCCATCTCTTGGTATTATCCTATTGGTAGTACCCATCCTATTCAGTACCAGCCTGGCAGATATCCCATGACCAATCAGCCTGCTCCAGTAATGTGGATGCCAGGACCAACTCCTATGCCCAACTGCCCTTCTGGTCTGGAATACTTAGCTCAGGTACTGTAATACCTCAAAAACATTTTCCTTTGAAGTATGCCCCTGGGGTGTGAACAGAGGAAATAAGATGTTGGCTAGAGTGAATAGGGTCACTGATGACAGAGGCTGGCTCGCCGAGAGCCATGATGGGGAATTTACAGGTAGACAATGGGTACAAGGACACATTCATAGGACACATGAGTTTTTTTGACGAAATAAAAGTGACTTTCTCAAAGAAATAAGAAAAATAAGAATGCGAGTCACTAACCTGATGCTATACCATTTACTTAGAAGTAAAGTGTTCACATTGAGAAAAAGAGAGTAAGAAGGGAAAACTAGACAAGGAGAGGCGGTGGGTCCCAAAATGTACAACCCACAACTTCTTCTCAACATCTCAGACTCTTTAACATTCCTGAGCCTCAAAACACATCAATCTAAGTAAGTAAAGATACTGCTTCAAGTCAAAATTCATGTCTTCTTCATACAGCACAGTGACTGCCAAATTTCTTGTGCATGTAAATCAAAGAGCCAGAATAAAAGCTATAGCGCTGTTGTGAGACGTTTTGGTGGATAAACGTGGAATGGTTGTCATGTTGTTAACACACAGAGGCATGCCCTACAGATGCTGGCTGCGGAAACTATTAGTCACACTCTTGTGTCGTTTCTCTGTTGGGTGGCTTGAGGTGACACATACAGATCATGTGCTACTTTGATAAGACTACCACGAGGCCTTCTCCACCCACAGCAGCTTTAGAATCTTTCCAGAGCCTTGTATTTATCAGTGACCCCACATGCTTGTCTATTTCCTGCTGGCACAGCACCTCACTAGGAAACTTCAGCATCAGCAGTAAGCAGAACACTTCGCCCTGCAGTAGACACTTTTGCCACATAGTCAATGCTTTTATCCTTATTTCTATATTTTAATTTCTTAAGTATTTTACAAAGGAAAAGTGCAAGCAATTGTAGCAACCATTTTGATATCTTATATGAAATGATCCCTTATCAATTTGTAAGTTTTACATTGAGCATGGACTGTGTCCTCCTATGTCCTTTTGTAGCTAATCACACAATTTCATCCATAACCAGTTGGTTTTTTTTCTTGTTATTACACTCACATACCTTTCATTATTTAATGAGTTTTGGTGAAATGTAACATTTTAGGCAGCATTCTGGGTTCAGTGATTATGAATAGCCTCATGACATAAATGATTTGTAATTGTGTTGGTTAAGATCTGTCTGTCCTAGAGGAGATTGTCTATCTTCTGCTGGGGTGTTCTGAATTGTAACAGAAGATAAAACCACTAAACTGTCCATCGTCAAAGTAATTCCAGTACCGTTAAAGTAGAAGTAAAGTAGAAAGTTAAGGTGCTCTTAACTTTCTTTTCCATGACTGCTACTTTAGAATGTTTCCCTCCGGACGCCTTTTTCCAGACCCTACCCACATGGTGCTACCCTCATGCATCCGTACTAAAGTATGCACTTGTTCAAGAACTTGGCATTAGGTGAATGCAGCTGAATGCAAATTCACGCACTTAATCTCTTTGAAAGGTATTCAGGAGGTAATGTGGAGCAGAGGTCTTATTCAGGCTTACTCTGGCTTGTTCACCTTCCCTATACCACAAGAGCATCCCATGAGTCTAGTCTATGTTAAGTCATCCTGACTGGCTCCCATGTGAACATCTCAGACAAGTTGACTGAGAAACAGCCAGAGATCCTTTACATATACTTGGCTCCTCAATGTGCTGTCACTGTAGCAAGCAGATGTTTTCCAGATGTCAGTCAGCTCTCTGATTTTTAACGTGGAACTACCTGAAAGTGTTTTTCTGATTTAGACACCTCTGTTAATATCCATCTAATTGGATGCTGATAAGATAATCTCAGATGATTACATTTTTAGATTCCATTCCATTTTCAGAGAGATATCTGTCATCAATTGATACATTCTAATTATTATTTTTATTTTATTTCATGCACATAGGTGCTTTGCCTGCATATGTATCTGTGTACCACTTCCATCCTGGTACCCAGGGAGACCAGAAGTGTGCGTCCGAGTCCCTAGAATGTGAGTTAGAGATGGTTGTGAGCAACCATGTGGGTTCTGGGAACCAAACAAACATCCTCTGGAAACACAACTGGTGCTATTAAGGCTGAGCCAACTCTCCAGCCCCTGGTTGACAGATTTTAATACCGTGTCATCACATTCTTTCCTCTTGCTGATTAAAATTAATTCTGGTTTTCTGTCTTCTAATTGCTTTTGCTCTGTTCCCGCAGCTGGACAGCATACACGTGCTTCAACATTTTGAGCCTCTAGAAGGTATGTATAATTGTGTTTTGACTAGCATTGTGTTTTGAGTAGCAGTATTTTTTTAAAAGATATGTATATTTATTATATATACAGTGTTCTATCTACATGTATGCACCAGATCTCATTAAAGATGGTTGTGACCCACCATTTGGCTGCTGGGAATTGAACTCAGGACCTTTAGAAGAACAGCCAGAAGCCAGTGCTCTTAACCTACGAGCCATCTCTCCAACCCCTTGATTAGCAGTGTTTTAATCAGATGGAAATTTGTATTACTTCGTACTTAGTGCCTTATTTTCTGTTGATGAGCTTTTAGTGATTCAAAGAGAGAAGACTATTTCCTATTACCTTATTTTCACAAAAGCAATAGAGTGAATTTTCTATGTAGTTTTATCGATCAATCCTCCATACACTGATAATCTCTTAGATTCAGAAATGACTTGCATCTAATCTGGCTAGTCCTTTGGACCAGGTGTCCATTTTTCTTTCTCTGCATTCGATTTATTTCGAAGAGTACAACAAGAAGAAGGTGAGAGGTGATCTGAGCTAGCCAGAGCCCCACACTCCACTAGCGTCAGTGGCAAAGAGAAAGCAGGGTCTAAGACCTCTGAGTTCCAGTCTGTGGCTGTTGCTATGGAAGTCTGAATAAATTATCCCATTCAGGTGACACTGTGCTCTTCTCAGTTACCTGCTTGCTTACTCACTCTCGGATAGGAGCCGGGCACACCCCTTGGGGCACCACATAGGGCTCTTATTTTTCTGGATTTATTTTCTTATCTTCGGGGAGCATGTCCCAAGTCATTTCATCAGTTCCACATGCTGATCAATTCATGATCTGATGTCTGATTCTTCAAAATGGTTTTATTACTAAAGTTTTCTGAATTCCTTTATTCCAAGAAAACTGAATTAGCCATTACTTTATGTGGGAAAACTTAAATAATTTCTTATTAAGCTTAACAATTGTTTAAAATTCTTAAAATGCTTAACCCTCATGGCTCACATGGTTGGATTTCACCTGAAATTTTAAAAAGCTATTTGGCTTTCGTAACTCCTAGCCATATTTCTTTCTTTCTTCCTTCCTTCTTCCTTTCTTTCTTCTTTTCCTCTTTCCTTCCTTCCTTTCTTATGGTCTTCCTTCCTTCCTTTCTCTTCTTTTAATAGCAAAGGAAACTTGAGGCCTGTCTTGACTGGTTCTAATTTAAGATTCTTTCTCCATTCTAACTTTTAGTGATGACAGGTTTTGAAACTAATAATAGGTATGACATCAAGAACAGCATAGACCAGATGGTTTACATCGTAACTGAAGACACAGATGACTACACAAGGAATGCCTATCGAAATCTACGACCCTTTGTGCTCCGGGTCACTGACTGCCTGGGCCGAGAGATCATGACCATGCAGAGGCCTTTCCGATGCACCTGCTGTTGCTTCTGCTGCTCCTGTGCAAGACAAGAGGTCAGAGAACAGGAGCGGAATCGACACTTGCTTCCTGACCTGCCCTTTACAGTGTGGTCTGCCTTTTCCTTCCAATACTACATGGGATGGAGATTTCTGACCCTACCATTCAGAATAAAACTGAAACTGAGTAGTGGGGAGGAAGGAAGCTGAGTTATTTCACAGGACAGAAACACACACTTTTCCTTTTTCTTCTCTAGTGAGAGATGGGGATCAAGTACAACTTGAGGCTGTTTTGTGAACAACTGCTTTCTGATCAATTAGGTACTTACAGGGACTTCCAGTAGTCATATGATATGTACTGGTACCCAAATATTTCCCAGGTGTCAAATTGGAAAGAGCTTTTGATTGCTGTACTCATCACAGCCTACACCGTGTGCAAAAACAGTCCTAAAATAGATGAAATGCCAGACTGGAGTGCCCTGCCGATGGCAGAGTTCGACCTACAGTGCAAATGCTCTTTGTTATGGTTGGTCCGACCCCTTTTATATACACAGGTTCAGAAAAAGAAAGCATTACTGAAAAATAACCTACGCCTGTGTCACAGTCTCAGTAAGTTCATGTGTGTTAGTCCTTGTGCCTGGAAGATGCCATCACCTCTAGTTCTCAGGCTTTTTCCACCCTCTATTCAGAATAGATCCTAAGGTTTGAGGTCCAGGTGTTGAAGAAGACATTCCCTTTATGAATGAGTGCTCCAAAGTCTCCCACTCTCTGCATGTTGGCCAGTTGTGTCTCTATGTTAATTCTCACCGACTGCAAGAAGCTTCTCTGATGAGGATCGAGGCTCTGCTCTGTGGCTATAACAATATGTTCCTTTAGCACAATAATGGTAAATTTTCCTCCATGCCCATGGCCTATCTAGTCTCATGTTCTTGGCCATTTGGATCCCTGGAATGGACCAAGAAATATGATCATGTGTTACAAAGTATGATCTTCTTTCTGTGTTCTTGAATTCAGTTCCCAGTATTTTACTGATAGGTTTTTGGCTGTTGAGCAGGAGAATTGCTCTGTAGGTTTTGGTGGTGGTGTTGATGGTGGTGGGTTTTTGTTGTTGTTGCTATTGTTCTGCCTTTATTTGGCTTTGATACCAGGGTAATACTACCTTTGCTCAATTAATTTGCTTGTTTCTCTTACCTTCCAATTTGAAAAAAAGTTTAAGACATTAACTCATTCTTGAAAGTTTAGTCGAATTTAGCTCTGGATGTCCAAGATTTTTTTTTTTTTTTTAGTAAGGAGATACAGTAATGACTGCTTTAATCTCACTGTTATTGGAGGGCTACCTTGCTCAGTCTTAATACAAGGTGGAAGAATGCTTTGTCCTTCCTCAACTTGATATGCCAGACTTTTCTGAGTTCCCATGGGAGGCCTTACCCTTTCTGAGGAGTAGATGGGGCAATGGGTGGGAGGAAGGCCTAGAGAGAGGGCAATGAGAGGAGTGAAGGGAGGGGGAACTGCTGTTGGTATGTAAAATAAAAAAAATTAAATAAAAATTTTTTATAAAAGATTCCACATGCCACTAAAAGAATGATGGCATAGTTTAGCTGTAAAGTTCTTTAGACTTTTAGGTAGTTTTCAGTCCAGAAGAAATCCTGAAGATGATAATGGGGTACTGAGCTCTCCTATACGATTATTACACTTCCACTGTCTGACCGTCTTCTGTCCTTTTGTTTGTTTTATGAAACTGAGAGACTAAATATTTAATGCCAGAATGTTTTCAATTATTTTATAGTTGTGCTGGCTAGGGTTTTGTGGACTGTGCACAAGCTAGAATCATTTGAGGAAAGGGCATCTCAGTTGAGGAAAGAGTACCTTCTATTCCAGAGAAGCCACATTTGGTTCCCAGCACCCATGTTGGGCAGCTGTTAAACTTGAATTTTTTTTTTTTTTTTTGCAGGGCTGCCTTGGTTGTCATTCATTGTCTTCATCTGTGCTTTTCTTTAAATGTTTTATTTCTCTATCATATTTAAAATATAGCTTGGTTGGGTGTTTCCCTCTTGTTTGGCAGCTGTTTATTTTCATTTCATGATATCCTGGTTTTGGGGTTGATGGCAAGACGTCGATGCTATTCTTTCTCATGTCTTTTCCTTTGTTTGTGACTTGGCGTTTTCCCCTTATAGCTTTAGTATTGTTTTTTACTTTTGTATTTTTTGCATCTTCATTATGGTATGCCATAGAGAGGTTCTCTTCTGCTCATCCTTGTTGTGGTTCTAAATGCCTCCAGTTTGTTGCTATGACTTTCTCTAGGTATACCATGATTTCTAGAATTTAGGCTTTATCACATACCTTCCTTCTACTTCAGAGATTCTTAGATCTTGTATTTTGCATGGACCCCAGAAATCTTGGAAGCTTTGTTCATATGTGTTAATTTATATATGCATTATATATAAATGTACATATCTCTCTTTATACACACACACATACATACACACACACACACACACACACACACACACACACACATACATACAGATAGACAGACATATATGTATTGTTGCATTGCCATTGCCCTGAGTCCTCAAACTCATACTTTTGCTTGGTCTTGCCTGTCATTATGCTTTCCACTGTGTGTTTTATTTACTTGACTGATGACTAATTTCATTTTCATCATTTCTCTCTTATTGTTTTTCAGAGTCTCAAAATTCCTTGCTGATTTTTTTCCCCTCCATGGGTCTTATAATTTCTCCTCAATTTCACCACTTTGCAAACTTTATTGTCTAGGCCTGGAATTAGCCTACCTAAGAATTTTAAATGGCATGCTATGTTCCTAAACATTAATCTGTTTATCACAGTCTCTGTTTATCAATTTATCTGCAAATTTGAGATTATAATTAACAGTTCTTCTCTGACAAAGTGGTTGCTTTGAAGACTGAAGATTTTTCAGTACACACCAGTCTCTAAACTTAATTTCTGATTATAGATAGTACTGTTGAGGCCCATCAGTGTTTCTGTTATTCTTAATAGAACAACTGTTCTTTGCGGTTATTATCTTCGTAATAGGACCTTTATATCTGAGGTAACTTTTTCCAGTCCTTGTTTTTCTCAATACATCAGGCATTTATAATCATACATAGCATTTTGTTTTCAAATCAAAGCCTTTAATCCCATAAAGGAGATCAGAAATAGATTAAGGCAAACCAGAACTGCAAACTTATAAACTTACTTTTTGTCTAATGTCATTATTAAGACAGTTTTAGACTCATTTGGTGTATTTGCCTTACATAGCCTTATCACCTATGTAGACTCCTTTACCTATCACCACATAACAAAGTCCCAACAATTTCATAACTATAAAAACAGTCTTCATATCTTCGCTGTTCTTTCTCTCTCATGTCCATCATTAATTATTGGAAATCACTAATTTGCTCTGCATCTCTGCAGTTTGTTATTCAAGGATGTTATATAGTAAGTGAGGCATATATTAGTCATTTAGTCAAGGCATACTTCTTCACTAATATACACCCTCTTATGCATTTATGCATTATTTAAGATAGAATTAACTTAACTTTTAAAGTAATTTGATTTTACACAGTTCTGAGGTTTTTTTTTCATTTCATAGGCATAACATTTTGGCTCTATCAAATTTAATGTTTTGTATAGGTACAAATTTGTATATATGAACAACGGCTCTGGAAATACAACTCCTGACAGCTTTTTATAAAACTTTAACATACAGGTAATTAACTAAAACAGCATTGTGTACAATATTTTTGAAGCCTTTAATAAAATGCTATTGTCAGTCCCTACACACAGGCTCTTACCGTTACAGAATAGCAACTGCTCCACTTCCACCAGCAGGTTTACTTTTTGTGGTTCTAGTTACTATAGACAAATGTAGTCTGAAATATTAATACTAACTTCCAGAAATAAACAATCCATAAGCTGAATAGTATGGCGAATTCTGGATCATGAATTATTCTTTTGTTCAGCATATCCAAGGTGCACCTGCCATACACACGGTAGCAGTTGAAAGACTACTTTCACATAATTTCTATTATAGGACAGAGTATTGATTGTTAGTGCTGTACTATGGCTAATTGATAAATTAAACATTGCTATAGACATGTGTTGTATGACCATAGGCATGTGTTTATTAGAAAGGGTGGTATGTATTGGGTCGGAACTATTTGAGACCTCCACTAATGTCTTGGAACACATTCCCGTCAAACAAGGGCACTTTCACACAATTTCCCCAGTGTTTCTTTCTCTTTTGTTTCCCACTGTAGTTGTTATGTAGGAGATTTAGTTTTGCTGCTTATGATTTTTTAAGTGAATTAGTCATGTTAAATGTATTTGTTGAAAGACATGAAAGTCCTAGATGAAACAAAGGTCATTACTACATTGTTGTTTTTCTTTTTCCTTTTCATTTTTTAAGATATGGTTTCTATGTATATCCTGACTGTTCTGGAACTCCCTCTGTAGGCCAAGTTGACCTCAAACTCATGAGTCTCATCTGCCTTTGCCTCCCAATGGCTGGGATTAAAGACATGGGCGATCACTTGCTCAAAGGTCTTTATTATGGCACAGCAATATGAATGATTCATGTCAGGTCCTCTTTGCCTCAGACCATTTAGAATTGACTGGGAGAGGACGCAAATCTAGCCAGACAATGCTGTATGCCCTGTTAGAAACACTGGGCTTAGATAACTGGAATCTATATCAAACAGTTCAGTTGTAATTAATCCTGTCCTTTGCCCCACAGTAAAACATGAGCTTATGTCTTTAGAGTGCTTTTGGAAATACAACCCTGCAAATAACCTCGGGGAAACATGAGCCCCTCCCAGCATTAATTCCCCTTGCCCTAGAACGACCATGAAAATGTCCAGGTGTGTGCACATGCATGGTATAGGTGTGCATTGTGCACATACAACATCATAACGTCTGTTCTTATTTCCTCTGCAGCTGGAAGTGCAGTGTCCTCCCGGTGCCACCATTGGATTTGTTGCAGAACACTGGAACTTATGCAGAGCCACTTACAGCATCCAAAATCAGGAGAGAGAGAGCATGATGAGAGTGCGTGGGCCGTGTGCAACCTACGGCTGTGGTTCAGATTCTGTCTTCGAGGTCAATACATATGTTGCTTCTACCTTGTCCATTATAACCTCATAATGTTCTTGTCTTCAGATTTATGTGAATGGTATGAAGGAAAAGTTAATCACAAGTTGACAACAAATCCTTTTCGCATGGTTTCTTGTGGTTACTTGACATTTTCTAAATGTGAATGGCATTGCCTTTTTAAAAAATGGGTTTTTTCCCCACTTAGAGCATTAATACTTTTGGGAGTAAACATCATAATTAGATCAATAACTGTTCTTGATATATATCATCTTTTTCCCTAGTTATTTTTAGAATGGGAGTAAAGGTTTTAATTGCAAAATCTATCAAATCACAACATTTAGAGAATTCATAAGGGCATGGATATAAATGAATGGCAGGGCTATAGTGCAACATTTTCTCAAAAAGCAATTTTTTGTTTTGCATTTTCCCAGGGACTGGCAAAGAAATTGCTAGGGAAAAAAAGCCCAGAGGTTTGGGAGTCTTTCTCAAAGCCTTTTAAGAAGATAAGGCTTGCAACACACTAAATTACCATTATTATTATTATTTATTCCTTTTTTTTACTTCATATGATACAAAAAAGCTTTCTAGTTTTTATTTTATATCGCCATGTAATGAAACATCATTCACTTATTTAGAACACTGTAGAAAATGACAACAAACCAGGTTTCCGGCGCAGGTTCTGTGAGGTCATTCTGTTACTAGGTGACATTAGAAGCTAGGTAAGAGGTATTTTTTACTGTCAAATGTTGGAGTCCCTTTTTTAGAAGCTGAAGCCCATTCTTATACCTAGAACTGCTGAAACTGGTTGGGCTTAGCTCACAGGAGATTGAGTGGTGTGCAGTGTGTATTACACGCCCCCTAGCTTTGTTTAGAGGCTCTCTTGATTGGTGACTTCCAATTCCCAAATTCTCACCCTCTACTACGGAAAACAATTTAATCATCAATTAAAACCATGCCTTCTGGAAAAAAAAATCCCCAAAAGATATATTTAAGGAGGAGGAAAAGTCACTAGATTGGGGGTTTAAGGTATATCCCACGTGAGTAATTAACAGTTTCAGGACACTTCATCCTAGGATTCCTCATTTGAAATGATGTCATTAGTGGGTTTCTTTTATATTATCCTACCACAAACTGCTTCTAAGAAGAGGACAGAGGTATGTCCCTTGACACTTTTAAGCCATCATAACGTCCCGCTCTTGGCATTGCAGGTCAGCTCTCTAGATGGAGCCTCTAACATCGGCAGTATCATCCGGAAGTGGAATGGCTTTTTATCAACAATGGGAAACGCCGACCACTTCGAGATTCGCTTCCCGTTGGATCTGGACGTGAAGATGAAAGCGATGATTTTTGGCACTTGCTTCCTCATTGTAAGCCTTTCGCTGTGGGCTTGAGAGCATCATTTCGTCTGATGAGAAGTAGTATTCTATAGGAAAAAATTCATTTTGAAGCTAGGCCAGCTTCTGTCTGTGCCACTTCTAGGTGCAGGTTTGGCACTTGGTGATGGGGTTTACAGGTTTGTAGCGGGGAGAAAAATACTGTTATTACAGAGTGATCGATCTGAGCTAAGTAAAGGCTGCTGGGGCATATCTGGAGGGTGGCAGACAGAGGATACAGTACTCATTGTTTCCTATTATCTTTCTCACTACTTCTAAACAGCTGTCCGGTGATAATTAGTATAATAAAGTAACTACGAAGCAGCTGCCCTTTTCCTCTTGTGTGTCAACTGTAATCATGCTCGTCAGTGTTGTATTGCTCTCAGTTTTACTCCGAGGTTTTCCTTCAGTCAATGCTAAAAATTAGTCGGTGCTGAATATGAAAAGCTTTATTGTCCATCTGCATTCTCACATGTTAGCCATACTCATAAATATTTCATTAGATTGTTTACTTTTACTGAAATAGGATGTTACTGTGATAAATTACAAAATGCCTTGGTATAATTATTTCTATCTATCTGTCATTCATTTCTCAATCTAAATACTATAATCCTTTTCCCATTTCAGGACTTCATGTACTTTGAAAGGACTCCTTCACGACGTTCATCAGTATAGAGGGATCAAGCCAAGCATCAGTTGAAAACAAAATTAGAGAAATGTACATTGGACTCACAGCCAGCCTTCAATTATTCACAAGTATATTTCTCTGGTTTGAACATTGTTTTCACCGGTATAAGTTCAAGAATAAAGTCAGAGCTGGGCGGTGATGGCGCACGCCTTTAATCCCAGCACTCGGGAGGCAGAGGCAGGGATATCTCTGTGAGTTCGAGGCCAGCCTAGTCTACAAGAGCTAGTTCCAGGACAGGAACCAAAAAAGCTATGGAGAAACCCTGTCTCGAAAAATAAAAAAAAATAAAAATAAAAAGAATAAAGTCAGGATATGTGTCCCAGTACCTTGTACATTTTCTTACATGCACATTTAACATTCACACACACCTTATATCCGAATGTTTATCCTGAAGTCGAGGATTACATATTGTATCTCATTTGACATGTTTTCAAAATCAGTCTAATGACCAGGGTGTCTTAATGACAGTTTATAAAAACTGAATGTATAAATCGTATCATTGTTCAACAGTACTTGACTTGATTTTCATGTTAAACAATTCTTTACACACAAACAATCAGAAAACACAGTAAATATGTTGCCTCCACATTCTCTCAATTATCAGTGAGGACTATGGAGGACCAGCAGGCCATACTAAGGACAGTCGGTGTATGTATGAATACACCAACTAGTGAGTCTCTCACTCTGGCTTCTGTCTGCATGTGGACTGTGTTCTTCCACGGATGTTTCCTTTCAGAGGTTATTAAATGAAGAGTAAGAGAAGAGGCTTAGCCCACCGCTCTTTTTGAAACAGGTGCTTCACTTTCAATTACAGTAATCTTTTTATGATAAAGTTTGGTTTATTCGGTTATTTGTAACAGATTGTTACTTGCTGCTATTCATTTTTTAATAAAAATATGATATATGGATTGTTTTCTAAAAACTCAATACCTTATATTTTAAGTTCAACTCTAATCTTGACTAGATGTATGCATTTTTTGTAGTGCTATCTTATATTTTACACATACACCAGATTTTGCACATACTGTTTAGAGCTTGTATATGAACTTGTCATTTTACCCACCCACAGCCCTGTATTCCCACACTTACCTTACATTGATAATGCAAGTCAGGATACTTTACATCTCTGTGTTTCTTACTTTAGTGTTTGTGATACTAATACTTCTCTAACAGAAAAAAAATTCTTAATCATAATAAAGTGGTGTCATATTTTAATGTAATTCATGCAATTTTTGTATCTCATAATGGAATTTGATTGTAAAAAATTGACCAATGTAACTAAAAAATAAACAGATTCTTTTTTTTATAGTTAAGTTGTTTCTTGTCCCCTTAGGTTCTTAGACTTTTAAATAAACATGTAATAGAACTAATTGCAAGATGGTATTTTATTTCCTGAGTTGTGACTGAGTCTGAATGCTTTCCAGTGATATATTAAAAGTAATGGCTTATTAATCACTAAGCTCTTTTCACTCTTATATAGATTTACTAATTAATTCCTGAGGCACTGAACAGTAATAACTAACATTCCTTTTTAAATATTTTGTCAATTATATATGATAATTTGAGATATTTTTTTCCTTTTTTATTGATTTTATTGAGATTTCTCTGAAGGATTTCTGTGAAATACATTAAGGAGTATAGGTATTAGTTCTTCTTGGAAGTTCTGGTAGAATTCCGCATTGAAACCATCTGGTCCTGGGCTTTTTTTCGAAGGGAGATTTTTGATAACCATTTCTAATTCTTCGCGACAAACAGGTCTATTTAGATCATTCACCTGGTCTTGGTTTAGCTTTGGTATATGGACTTGATCTGGGGAGGGGGAGGGAAATGGGAGGCGGTGGCAGGGAGGAGGCAGAAATCCTTAATAAATAAATAAATTTTTTTAAAAAAGAAAGTGTCAGTCACAGTTCCTCCTTTAGAGTCCACAGCATCACCATCCATGGGTAGTTGGCTAGGTTTAGAGTACTGGACCTGAATTCCCTCCTATTAGGCAGGCCTTCAGTTCAATTAGGCAGCTGTTGGTTACTCTAGGGATATAAATGCCTCTATCGTCCCCTAGGCATTCTGGTCCTTGCTATGGTTTCTAAGCATCACAGCTGTATCTTGTGCTGTGATAAAGCACCACAACCAAAAGCCACTTGGGAAGGAAAAGGTTTCTTTTACTTAAACTTCACAGACCAGGGAAGTCAGGGTAGGAATTAAGATAAGAAACTAGAGGCAAGAACTGAAGCAGAGGCCATGGAGAAGTGCTGCTTACTGACTTACTCCTTATGGCTTCCTCAGCCTGCTTTCCTATAGTACCCAGCACCCCCAACCCAGAGGTGGCACTGCCCTCAGTGAGATAGACCCTCTCACATTAATCATTAATAAAGACAATGCCCTACAAACTTCTGGCAGATTGATCTTATGGAGTCATTTTCTTATTGAAAGTTCTTCGTCCCCAATGACTCTACCTTATGTCAAGTTGAAAAGTACCTATCCAGCGCATGGTGGGTAAGAATATTGATTACTTTTCTTCCTTGGCAGCTTGTATTGCACCTTTCAATACTTTGAAAGCTAGCCTTTGGGAAGGGGGCCTCCAGGTCAGTTCCAGCTCAATTCCTCCAACTCTCTTGCCCTAAGTGTGTGGTATCTTCAGCATTTATGTTTTCCCCCTTTTTTTTTTCTGGAAGGCACACATGGGCAACAGTGCCCTTGTTGATTTTGCTGTCAACTTGATTCAATCTAGATTACGTGAGAAGAAGGAAGCACATGATTGAGAAAATGCCTCTATAAGATTGGCCTGCTGGCAAGCTTCGTAATTAATAATTGATGTAGAAGAACCCAGGCCATCACTGAGCAGGCGGTCACCATCAGTTTAAGGACATTAAAATTATATCTATTTCCTAGCTATTGTAAAGAGAAGATCAGTGAATGTGGCTGAGCAAGTATCTGTGGAGTAGGATGTTGAGTCCTCTGGGTATATGATCCAAAGGTATGGCGAGATCATATGGCAGTTTTACTTTTAGCTTTTTGAGAATTTTCTGCCTGGATTTCCAGAGGGACTGCACCAGCTTGCAGTCCCACCAACAGTGAATGAGGATTCCCTTTTCCCACATCCTTATCAGTATTTGCTCTTGATTTTTTTCTTACCATTCATTATCCTGACTGGGGTAAGATGAAATCTCATTAGGTTTCATTTCATTAGTTGCTAAGGACGTTAAGAACTTTTGACATATGTCTTAGCTATTTTTATATCTTCTTTTGAGAACTCTCTGCTCAGATCCCTAACCACTTTTTTTTTTACTTTTATTGAAAATAGATTTTTTTTCTCACATAACATATCCTGAATGGTTCTCACATGTTACTTTGCATAAAAGGATCAGGAGTTACACCTTAACTATATGCTGTGTTCTTCTGGGCAGTGTTCAGTTAATTTTCACTTTAATGTCATATATAAAAACAGAGCAGAATGGCAGCGTGTTTGATATTCTGGAATACAGCTAAGAAGGACTTGAGGCAGGAAGGAGGTCTTCTCTGAGGTGTACTATCTTCAGAGTTCAGTATCATTGCTGCTAGTGCCACAGTGGTGCCAAGCAATCATACTTCCTGTGTTCATACATGTCTTAACACATAAACAATGAGGACAATACTTTGTTTTTAAATTCTCTACAAGCAATGTATTTTTTTACCTATAGCACAAGAAAGATAATATAAAACATTATATAACTAATACATAATATTAATTATAGCATAGTATATACATACATAATTCTCTTCTTGTCCACTTAACAGCGGGTGAATTTTTCTAGTCCACTTTTTACATCTATAGGGCTTGGACAATCTCTGTTCTTTTGTTTTTTTGAGGCAGAGTTTCTCTAGATAGCCCTGACTTTTCTGGAACTTTCTCTGTAGACCAGGCTGGCCTTGTACTCATGGTTAATCATTATGCCTCTTGAGAATTAAGGGCATGCACCACCCCCACCACCCAGCCCAAGTCTCTGCTCTAAAACCACACCTTGTTAAGACCAAGGCTGACCACCAGCCTCATCAGGGATGATAAAATTGATGCTGTTGTTAATGGAGACGGTAGACTCCCATCCAGCCTCTCTTCATAGTCAGTCATTCAAATAACTTCTCACTTTTAACTTCTTCCCAACTCTTACTCGTCTAGAATCAAGCTGTACTCTGCCATCAGTACCTTTGGTTTATACTTCAGCCAGAATTTCTAGGCTTCCTACAACAAGAGAATTTTGTAATCATTTACTTTGCAACCATAACAGCAATAGAAGGGAACTGCTGAAAACAACAAACAAACAAGCATGAAATTTGGTACTAGGTAAGCATGAGAAATTCTATAATATACATATCAAGCAGTTACATTGTGCTTGCGGATCATTGCAGTATGTTAGGCCTCTGTTTTCTATTTGAAATGATATCATCTTTTAATCATCACATCATTAAATTCCAGATTGTATTTAAATCTTAAAACTCCTAATATTGTTGTTAGATAAAAGATTATTGATGCGGAAACATAACTCTCACCTCAAAGGGAACAAGGAAGAGTTTGTTCTGGAGCCAAATATGTGTGGCCATGAACACAGATTTAGTAATCCCTGATTCTGTGTTCAATGGAAAAGCAGTTTCAGGAAGCTTTCGTAGTAACAGACAAAAGAAAGTCATAAACCAGATACACTGGTGGGGAAATCAGAGAGGCAGGCTATAGCAAAACAGAGAACCTCAGCCATGGCCTCAGGTGCTCTGTGCTGTCTCTTAGCCTTTGATTTGGTGGAAACTGGTGTTCAGCTAAGTTAATATGTTCCAAAGGCTTTCAGCCATCACAGAACATTAGGTCCCACACTGAGGTGGTCAAGATACAGCTATTTAGGAGCTAAAGCTAGCCCAGGGTAAATTGCAATTGAGCTCGAGAATGTTTCAACCTCCCCACAATTGTAGACGTTACAATTAGCCTAGAAGGTGCTTCAGGTGGAAGGTACAACTTCTAAGAACTTTTGTCTCCACCACATTCATTATCCTAGACTCAAATAAAGTCTTTTGCCAAATTATAGGTCATCTTCACTGAACAACCTTTTAAAAAGTTGGCCCAAATTGTCTTCACTAACAGTCATTAAGAACAATTAGAGTTTCAATTCTTGCGTTGTACTATATAACAACAGAATTAAAATTGTACTGTCTTTCATACTGTTGGTTTTGTAGGAATGCATTAATGGGTGGGGGGGGGGTACTCAGGTAAAGGAACTCAAGACCAAAGCATGGAGGGTCCTCCTGTAAAGCAACTGAAGGCCAAAGTATTGTCTGCTTTTGCCTTTTTTTGCTTTTTGCTTTTTACGACCGCTGGAGTCAGGAGGCTGAATACGATGGTGGGCGACAGGGGGCAGCACAGGCTTACGGGTTTCATTCGGAAACCACAGTCGTTCTCAGCCAGACACAATCTGTTTCCGTCCACGAGGTTTAAGGATTTTAGCCGGGAAGGGACATTTAGGGCCACTTGCTGTACATTCGAATCTACAAATGAGGGAATTGAAAGAAATGGAGGTGAGACATCAATGTACCCTGGAAACCCACCGCAGAAACAAGAGTGAAAGCACTGTTCTGGGTTTTGTTTTTTAGTTTTTTTTCTTTTCCGTGTCCTTGCCATAAAACCACGACTTTTGCAGAGTTTTGAAACCATTTAACGCAAATTGATTCACAACGTTGGTATTTTTGAATTATTCTTAGCTTTCAAGGGTGTTTTTCAGCATTCATGTGGTCAGTCTACATAAGTAACCTAGCACCCGAAGATATGCTCTCACTGCTGGGGCTGTTCAGTCCGCAGGGCAAGAAGAAAGAACATCAGCAACAGTTAGGTTCTTCTTGCCACTTCGGAGGTCAGTTTATTCCAGGGTGGTGGAAAATGCCAGACATCAGAGTTGTCCACCTCAGTCATTTGGTGGAAAATGATTCCAGAGATTCACTGGACTGATCCCTTAATGTGGACCCCAATGAGCTCGAAGGAACACCTTGGTCCTCCTGAGGAAAAAGCCATTGGATGTGGCTTCTTTTGGCCGCGTACCATTTCTGCGGTAATGACTCTGTAATAACGGGAGCTCTGTGGGCGCTGCTGACGACGCAAGGCTTTGCAGGCAGATCTATTGCATGAAGGACAAATAAACATGGTTTTGTAAGGAAGCAAACACTTTTACAGCTTTGGGATTTTTTTTAATTTTACTTATTTTATGTGCATATGTGCATGCCCACTTGTATGTATAAGGTCAAAGAGGGCATCGGATCTCTTGAAACTGGAATTATAGATGACTGGGAGCTCCCATGTGGGTACTGAGTTATTTCTCTAGCTCCTGCATTTTTTTTTAATAATGAAAATGAT